TTGGCTCTTTGCAGATCATTCCATCTGGGGTGGAACAATGGTCCTGTGGTTAGTATTCCTGCCTCACAGTGTAGGGCTCTGGATTCAATTCCTGGGGTGCTATTTGCTTGGGAGTTTGTATGTTCTCCCCCGTGTTCACGTGGGTTTCCTCTGAGTGCTCTGGTTTTCTCCCACAGTCCAAAAACATTGGCAGGTTAATTGACTTCTTCAAAAAGTGGCCCTGGTGTGTATGTCTGTGTCTCTGTGCTGTGATGATTGGCTTCCCATCAAGGGTGTATCTTACCTTGCACCTGTTCATTGCCAGGACAGGCTATGGCTCCCCCTGTGACCCTAAAATGGAAAAAGCACTTAGAAAATAGATGGATGGAAGTTTTCACCTTCATTATATATGAGAAAGTTCTTCATTAATAGCACTTCCAACTTATATTATTGCAATTATGTATACTACAAAAGGTACCTGTTGACTGAGACAGATTATTGAATTACAAGACCAATCTCATTCCTATGATCTTTCATCATATCATACATTCCAGACAGTTTAGTTTTTTTTCATTTTCTGTATTCAGCTACTCCCTGAGTTTGCTACCATAAACTATAGTATATGTTGTTTTCATGATCTTAAAACTGCCAGTCATTAAACCAATGAGAAAACCACAGAACCCTTGAAATCACAATAAAAAGCTTGTGTTGAACTGAGACAGAGATTAAATGAGCAAAACAAGTAGGTTCTAAGAAAATTGATTGTTTTTTGCTTTGCACTGCTTGTATCTTGATTAGCTTTTAATCAGTCAGTGACCTCAAGAAACATATCCTAGTAACAAAGCAAGACTGTCAAGAATCTGAAAGCTACATTTTTTTTTTCAAATTAATGACTCATTTGATGCATAATTCCACATTTACACTTTTTGACCTCATGTTAACATTTCGTTGGGGGAAATATTACGGTCTAGTTGATGCAAGTAAAATCTCAGCCCTCCCAAAAAATAAATCATTCAGGTATTTAATATAAATACATTTAGTTCTAGAATGTTCAAATATACCAGTGTTCAAATTTTTATATGTATGTGACTTACATTAAACATGCTATGAGGTGTAAAAAGTTGATTTCATAGATGCTTTAATGCATCTTAAGTTTTCTCTACATTAACAGTGTTACTATTGAGTTCTGAAACCACGCAAGTCTTCAAAGACTTTCAGGTACTTCGGTAAAATTTAAATGACAATGGTCCCAGTCTTAAGTTTCTCAGAATGAAAGGTTCAGCCTTAATGTAATGGTAGGATAATCTGTTATCCATGATACTGGAGATTGTTAATAGAGTAACTGCACTCTTCCTTTAGATTTCTATATACTTTGATATCCTGAAATGAAAACAGTAATGGAGCAGTTCACAGTACACTGTTTATCCTCTGGGCTTTTATGTTTTTCAGAAAAAATGTTGTTGAGGATCAGCAGGTGGATAACTTTCTCTGCCTTTTATTTTGTTACCCATATAGTAGAACAATCTGACACTAACATGATGTAGCTTCCTAAAAATCCCTCTATGGGATCTTTGTGACCTCACAATGCACCAGAAACTTTTCCTGAGACATTAGGGTATGTCATTGTAGTGTAGAAGTGTCTGAGGTAATCAGGAGCAGTAGGGCATCAGTGTGCACTGTTCCTTAGCTTATTTTTCTCTTGCTCACACAACCTCTGCATAAGAAAGAAAGCATGTGCATGCCAGCAAACAAGACTTTGGATCAAATGCAAACAGGGCTTGAATCTTTGTGGACTTGGTAAGATGCCAAGGCTTTAGTAAGACCAGGAGGCAGTTTTGCTGTGTGAAAAAAAGGGTACTTTACCTTGTCAGTTTTAATTATGGGGTGAATTAATAAACACAGCTTCAAGTTCTTTGTAGGTATGTCTACAAGCATGTCTACAAAAGTGTTTCATTTTCTTCACCACCATACTTAATGCCTACTGATATCCAATACAGTAGCTCATGAGGTGCCACACCTAATGAAGAGGTTTTGATTGTATTTTCTTATTACATAGCAGATAAATAGCAGCAAATGGTATCTAATGTGTTTCTTCTTTATCCTTTCCAATGATTTACCAGTGACCTTGCTTATGTGCATAATATATGCATTTGTTCAACACATGCTTTTGGAGACTAAGGTGCTCCATGTTAAACTTTCTGGAGCATTATTTAATTATTGTGGTCCTTGGTGAATGATGCCATCTTCTGTTACAACTAATTTGACAAGTGGCTATTTTTTTAAATAAAACAATTTCTACTGCATTGCATTTATGTTCAGTAAAACAAAAACAACAGGTGAGATATGTTTGCCAAACCTGTGGCCTTTGGAGAGAAAGGGATACACTTTTTTCAGAGAAATAAAATAAAATTGTGATAAACTGTTAACTGGCTTAGCAGAATAGATGGCATGTATTTTTCTTTTTACTTTTCTTCTCATGCACTCCTGGCTCTTTATGCCATTTTATATGTTTTTGGCAAGTCTGTGTTGATCCATAAGAGGAAGAGGTACAGTAGTTCCCACACAAGAGCTCTTTGAATTGACATGACTAAACTATATAAAAGACCCTCTAACCAATAATTGCAATCTCTTTGTGAATATATAAGGAAACTGACCCAGTTTATGACAAATTGGAGTGGGAATAGTATATTGTTTGCATTCCCCTGAGAAGCATTTTACAGACTACTTGAGAAAAGTAAAAATATTTAGGAACTGTTGCTGAATAGAATTATTGCATTCAGGGAAATCATTCTGCATCTTGAAGTGTGGACAGATGCATAAACTTGCATAGTGTGGACAGATGCATAAACTTAAAGCATGTAAGTCATTTAGATGGTCAGACTTCAGAACATTTTAGTGGTCTTAGTACATTTAGAATCTCAATATACATTAAAGGTCTAGTATAGAGCAATAGTAAGAACTGTTGGCTCATACAGTACATACTGTATAACGTGTGACAAATTGTGACTATTTCTTGTGTTGTAGCTAAAACGAATGCTTAAATAAAAACGATGGCCTTCAAAATTTTGCAAAACAAAAAGTAGCTTTTTAGTAATGACAGGAGCATATTCTGCAGGGTGTGCACTGGTATTCCAGTGTGGCATTTTACTGACCATTCCAGTGTTAAATTCTCCACCCAGTTGTAAATAAATCTGCACAGCTGTATTTCTCAGTTAGGGGTAGCCAGTTGGTCTTGTTCAAATCCTTTTCAGAAGGTTTCCCACTTTGCAATGCTATTTGCATGACATTTGCACAGATTCCCCATGTTTTTTTTATACAGCAAATGTATTGTACTTATGCCATTACATTTTTCTATGGTCTGAATTATGCTATAAGGTGGTTTTACTATGATACCCATTATGCTACACTACATTTTCCTCTGCTTTATCATGGTGTATTGAAACATGATGACATTTGTCACTGCAGGTTCTCCTTTGACTTCCTCTAAAACAAAATTAACAGACCACACTAGTAATTCATTTTAACTTAATATTAAAAGAAATCTTCACTAATTTTTTAAGTATTATATTGAGTAAGAAGCTACACTATTGAATTGTACAATACCAAAACTTTTATTCCCTTGAAGAGATCATCTTGGTTAAATGATCATTTTCAATTTTTGATACTTTCTGCTTCTTAGCACTGCAGAAGGGAGTGTGTATGGCACTCTGCAGTTCATGGCTAGGTTTACTGTGTGGTGAACATGAGCTTTATATCTGTTCTGGGATGCATCATTGAATACTGCATGTTGCACTGTTTTAGCATTTTCAGTGATCTGGAAAAGAGAATGTCCACAACCACACTCACTTCAAGCCACTTTCAAGGGCTTGACCTGACAGAAAAAGTCAAATACAGTTCCAAGGCTTAAATATCTCAACTCCTTCACTAAATGTCAAAATATAATTGCAAAACAGCATTACTGCAGACAGGACTGATAGCTTCTTTATAAGTTCAAGACATACGGCTTTGATGCCTCATGCATGAACAGGACCTGTCCTTTTGTATTATTTTGATTTACTGAAGACAACTTGCAGAGAAAATGTGCGATTAATGATAGATACTGTACGCACTCTGAAGCCAGACATTTTTTTTTTCTGTGGAAACTACCTGTGTGAAAATCTTTATGGCAAGAATAATGCCCCAATAGAATCTAGTGCTTTTTAAACTTGAATATATGAACTCAAGACAGTATGGCACATATCCACTTCATTTGCATTCAGACAACTGAAAAGGGTGAGTTGAGCCAAGGACAGATGTTGAGGTAGTTATGACAACAGACAAACAAGTAAGCAAGTTACACACAGCACACACACAAATGCAAATTTAAAAGAATAACCACCCTCAGAACTGCAAAATTGGTGGTTCTCCAGAAAATTGTAATACTTAATTAGCAGGCTATATTCAAAGACATTTTTTTCCTCATGCATCTTTCACTCTTTCTCATGGACTCTTCTTTGCTTTGATTATTTTTATTTCCCTTCCCCTTGCTCTCTTCTTTTTCTCTTGCTCTCTTTCTTTCTATCTCTTTCATCCATCTTCTTTCTCTCATTCTCCCAGACGATCTGCAGAGAATGTATGTGAGCCTGTCTTTATGGGGAAGATGCCTTCCCCATGGAACACACTGACATAATAAATAATCCCTGAATAAATAATAGGTCATTTTGCTTTTTTTTAAAGTTTGTTTATAACATTGTAAATTAAGTCACTTTGCATTTATTTGTTCTCAATATTACAGTTTATGCCATAAATGTATTTTATTTTTGTAGTACGAACTTTAATACCAACAACACATATTTGTTTTTAATTTTATTTTTTAAATGGGAACTTGCCCATGAATGTCCATTGTGAGTGACATTACTAACCCTTCTTCCTGTGCTGAAGCTTTTTTTAACAATAGCTCATTTGCCTTGTTTTAAATAATAAGCATCATTTTTATTTCTCTTGACATTTTGAGAAACAAAACTTTTTTTTTTCTTTTGTAGGATTGATTCTTAGACTACCTCCCACTTTTCATACTGCAGAAGAACAGCTCAGGTGAGTGCAGATCTATTTTATTTCCTCCTCTTGAGAGATTTTCTTCTATTGTTGTCATTTCAATGAATGTGTCTTAGCAAGTTTTATGGTGGCAACTCTCCGCATATGGTTCTCATACCATGGTATGCATGTTACATCTTGTTAACCTATAGCAGGTGCTCCTACAGAAAGGCAGTGGCCGTGTCCTGATTGTCACACTATGCCCTAAGCCCTTCCCTCCCTCCTCCTTGTGACGTGCACAAGTGCGGACTTCGAGTGCGCGAGTATTTGAGGAGGCATTGTTATATAAAGGGTAATAGACACCTTTGCATAACGTCACTCACATGGCTTAGGGTCAAAATGCTTTCTGTTGTTGATGCTTTTATAATGGCTATTTGCATGTTGGCAGATATTTGTTTTGAAAATTATTTTTTATTCTCTGCTCGCAGATTGATGAAATTGAATTTCATTTCGTCAGTCTCTGCATTAAAGTAGTGACATATCGTGTTCATTCATGTTGAGCAGGCTCTACTCAAAACTTGGCAAGACCAGTCTCTGTTTATTTGAACCTTTGTATTACTTAATGCATTTCATATCGTCTGTCCCAGTACAAAAATGACAGTACGAGGAACATAATTCATTCATTCATTTTCATTCTAAATAAACTTAATAAGGTTAACCTGACAATACCTCAAAACTTTATACTATTAAATATTCCGTGTACAAAATACACCGCAGGAAAACGAATATTCATCCGTTTGGGTGATGAAATAAAAGCTTTATGTCAAAACACCGTACCTAGAATATATACGGTATGAATATACTGTAAAGTTGCCTAATGAATTTTATTTTACATAAAATGCTATTTTAAAACTAAAAGCTCAATTATACTAACACTTGAATATTTTAAAGGAACAAGTAATAGGTTTATTCCATGCTGAAAAAAAAGAAGAAAGAGAACACAACGTTTCGGCCGTGGAGCCTTCTTCAGGTGTGAGAGAGACAGGGCAGTAGGCAAAGGTAAAGTAGC